TAACAAAATACTTTGGAAAACGAAAATTTGCGGAAACAAGCCAGTTAAATTGTCGATTACAAAATACTTACTAACCATTCCACTTTCTTTTACTTTTGAATATTTCGTATTTTAATTACACTTATATTTTTATATTTGTAAAAGAATATGTGTTATATATGATAAACACAATGAAACGATATCCTATAGAAACGACATTGAAATAATCTTTGAACAATTATTCCAGTAGATGGCGAATAATTTGTAATAATATCGTAAATAGCATGGAAAGAACCATTTGGCATGAATAATTAATAATCATTATCCACGTAAATGATTATCTGAACAATGAATTATTTGTTGCTCGAATATTTGTACTATATGTTCTCCATCGTTTTGTTACTCTTCCGTTATAATTTATTTAACGAGAGATAGGAATTAATACATCATGTGAACATGTTATGCATATCGTTCTAAAATAATTATTTTACACGTTGGTAAGTTAACACCTACTTATAACAATTAATTTTTCTTCATATTTTTCCTCCAAACATATATTTATAAATTAATTAATATAACGAAAAAGTAAATCGACCGATTGTATTAAAATTATATTTACCAAAAATTGCAGTTATGATAATAACGTAAAAATCAAATTATTAATACAAATATTTTCAATATTCGATATCCGCTCTTCTACCTTTATAAGAGAAAATTTTAATTTGAAATCATTCGATTTTAATTTTCAGAAAATCTTGCAAAAATTTACTCACTCCAGTTGATAATAAAGAATAATCCGAATAATGAAGTGACATTATTTGCCAAGAGTAATTGTTAATTATCTCTCGAATAAGTTGCTAAAGCATCTCGTGTGATTAAATCAATATTATCGAAACAACTACACCGATAAATACTTGGCCAAAATTATTCGAGATAAATTTAGCTTTGATAGACCACCATATTCTCCAACTATAAAATGCTCTCTCCTTGATGTCACTATTATTAAAATCCAAATGTTCGGCAAAAACATAAATTGAAATAATCAAAAACAACGCTGGGTCTGAATATTTTCCTGTGACGCAGCGTAATTTACTTTCTGACCTGGTTGGAACGGCACAAAAGAGGGAAACGTAATACGGTATTGATATCCCTTATTAAAAGTACAGAGTATATTAGCACATGCACGCGTGTATTTGTGCGTGCATAAACATTTACAATGGCGAAAGATCAATAAAATGGGATGCGGTATTGGTGGCCGATATTTGAGCCTGATATAATGCATCTCAATTCGTGTAGCCTATAAAGAAAGAAATGGTTATCGACTTGATCGTATTCTAGGTGTTGAGAGTTTGATCAAAAAGAAAAAAAGGATATATATATACACACATACACACACACGCGCGCGTGCGCGAATATCCCTTTCCTTCGTCATATTTCCCTTCTCAAAGGAAAAGCGTATGGAAATTACTCTGGAAGAACATCTTTCCCTTGATCATGGAAAATCGAGAACCTTGTGCAAAATAAACAGCAAAGTGGAAAGGATCATTGACATTAATTATATGTATGTATACGTATAGAGAAATGGAATAAAATGTAGGGAGCGGTTTGTACATCAAGTGCATTGCCGAGGGTACAAAGGAAAAGTACAATATGGATCTAAAAGTGGTACTTGACGGTTGTATCGATGGAGGCTCTTTTAAATGGAGCACAGGTCAGCGCACATGAAACACCGGATTTGTAATGTATACCTCATTTATCAAGCCCTATTTTTACGTAATACGAACGCGCAGATTTGATTAAAATTCCTAACACTTTGTTATCGGGAAAGTCAAGGTGAGGTTTTAATTTCGGCAAAATGACGCGAAAGTCATTTAATGAATTTACGAGGAAATTAATTTTTTAATTTCTATTGATTATTTTGATCGTTTTGTATCTGATGTATTTAGTCGATAAATATTAGTAATGTTCAATTTATTTTTATATTTATTAAATATTATGTTAATAGTAAATATATACCAATAATATATACTAAAAATACAAATTTAATTAATATTAAATAAATAATAACTTTTATTTTATTAATTAATATTATTATATTTTCTAAAATAATTTTGCTCGTCATTTCTTTTCAAGTAATACGTACTAAAAAGTAATATAATGTCATTTTAATGTTAATTCGATTACCATTTGAAAAATTTTCAGGTTGCAAAGTAAGCGATTTAACAGAATGAATGAAATTTTATATAAATTTTATGCAACGACCAAACACTTCGCAAGGAAAGAAAAACACAATCATTATCGATTGGATGGGTGTAGTCAAATATAGCGAGGATTCTGTCCAAAAGATAAAGTTAATTAGGATCGGATTTATTTGACATTCATATTTTATACAATACATAGATCATTTTACGCTTTGGAATAAATTTCTATTTTATTTTAAGTTGAATGTGTTGTGTAATAATTTGTGATTTAAAAAGATATATATAATTGAAAGATATGTAAGCTACAAATACAATAAACAAATAAACGTAATATTTTAAAAAATGGTTATCTCATTTAATATTATTGTATTTTATGCATTATACAGATAACTTTATTAAACAACAGATCACGTGAAATTTATAATATTGTCTTGTTTTAATAAGTTAAGAATATATTTTGTATAAATTTAGAAATTCTGTATCGCATTCACTACCCCCATAAGGTATAACTAATTTTATATATTTCAATGTTATATAATATATTTAATAGGAAACTATAATCTCCTAAAAATTGATTAATTTATTAAATTTACTTTTGTTCGATAACTTATTTAATATAGAATTTATTTATAGATTCTTTTACAAATTTCGTATAAATTATCTTTAAGAAATCAGAAAATTTTTAAATAGGACTAATAATAATTATGAAAAGATATGTTCGATTATTCAAGTGATAAAGTCGGTAGAAATACTACTTAGAAACTACCAATTCTAAGAAAATAAATTACAATTTATTGCGAATATATTATTAAAAATTTATAAATATTAAGTAAATATATTAATAAGCTGTATATTATTTAATACGTAATTTTTATTTTTGTAAAAAATTTAATTTATAAATATTTTATAGTTTTATTATTTATCAGCAAAAAAAATGTAATGACATAGATTAAAATATATAAATAATACTAATACTTAAGGAAAATAAATAATTTAAAATTCAAAAATGTAATTTTTTGGCTACTTTCTCGTTTTGAAATTGAATCTAAAATGATTAAAATATAAAAGAACGTAGTAGTATATAATTTATAGAACAATGAATTTATTTATAAAACGTAAATTACATAAAATTTTATGCAACGACCAAACACTTCGCAAGGAAAGAAAAACACAATCATTATCGATTGGATGGGTGTAGTCAAATATAGCGAGGATTCTGTCCAAAAGATAAAGTTAATTAGGATCGGATTTATTTGACATTCATATTTTATACAATACATAGATCATTTTACGCTTTGGAATAAATTTCTATTTTATTTTAAGTTGAATGTGTTGTGTAATAATTTGTGATTTAAAAAGATATATATAATTGAAAGATATGTAAGCTACAAATACAATAAACAAATAAACGTAATATTTTAAAAAATGGTTATCTCATTTAATATTATTGTATTTTATGCATTATACAGATAACTTTATTAAACAACAGATCACGTGAAATTTATAATATTGTCTTGTTTTAATAAGTTAAGAATATATTTTGTATAAATTTAGAAATTCTGTATCGCATTCACTACCCCCATAAGGTATAACTAATTTTATATATTTCAATGTTATATAATATATTTAATAGGAAACTATAATCTCCTAAAAATTGATTAATTTATTAAATTTACTTTTGTTCGATAACTTATTTAATATAGAATTTATTTATAGATTCTTTTACAAATTTCGTATAAATTATCTTTAAGAAATCAGAAAATTTTTAAATAGGACTAATAATAATTATGAAAAGATATGTTCGATTATTCAAGTGATAAAGTCGGTAGAAATACTACTTAGAAACTACCAATTCTAAGAAAATAAATTACAATTTATTGCGAATATATTATTAAAAATTTATAAATATTAAGTAAATATATTAATAAGCTGTATATTATTTAATACGTAATTTTTATTTTTGTAAAAAATTTAATTTATAAATATTTTATAGTTTTATTATTTATCAGCAAAAAAAATGTAATGACATAGATTAAAATATATAAATAATACTAATACTTAAGGAAAATAAATAATTTAAAATTCAAAAATGTAATTTTTTGGCTACTTTCTCGTTTTGAAATTGAATCTAAAATGATTAAAATATAAAAGAACGTAGTAGTATATAATTTATAGAACAATGAATTTATTTATAAAACGTAAATTACATTAACGGGCATTACAGGAGGAACATTACAAAAGGAAAATTAATATTCCCTAGTGTCAAATGTATTATGGTGGATACAAACCGGACAGCACTCAATACGCGATACACAGAACCAATCACGTACCAGCTATTACAAGCTACTGTCATTTATTATACTAATGTACTTGGAAATAAAATTAAAGGCAATCGATTAGAAGTAAGAAATTTGTTTGTATTGAAAGTTTTTATTTTTTTATAAATAACTATGAAATTAATTAATTAGTAATAAATGTAAATAATATGCAATTGAAAAACATTAAATTTTAATTTGCATAAGAGTCTCATGTTATAATATGTGAATTTACTATAGAAATATAATTGTATAGATTTAGAATAAGAGTTAACGGCTGAGCGCGCGTAACTTGAGTTTCGCACAAGTAAAAATCACTAGATGAATACGCGCGTTTGTATTTGAAAACACATGTACCCACCTTACTACTAGTGATTCTGTGTTTGACAGTACGCGCGTATTTCGCGGCTATCATCGAATTTAGCCGACGTTAACCGATGTTTAACGAAGCTTGTAAGTTCCGTGTGTGTTAAGTGTTCGTTGGTGTTCAGTTGGTGCGCCTCGACTGGGCAAAATCGCGTAAAATGGAAACAGAATTTCGTTGTGAGGTTGAGGTTGGCCGTTGAAAAAAGTGAACATGGGAAGGTCCAAGTTTCCCGGGAAGCCGCCAAAGACGGTCACCAGGAAACGGATCAAAGTTCTCGGTCAGCCCGAGACAGCCCAAAGCGATTCGGTAACCGTCGCCGAGAACATCTATTACGGACTTTCCCTGTTCAACGAAACATTTGGTGACAACGAGAAGGTAATTCGTAGTTTACGTTCATGAGGACTACTTGGTACAGGGCGTATAATTAGTTATGAAGTATATAATTCATTCTGGATTTACAAACAACTGTATCAGTTTTATAAGCGTCATAGGGACGCATACGGCGCCGATTCGGTGACCAGAAAACTCCAAGATTTGGCTGTATAATGAAAGTTAACCTATTAGAAGGGAATCACAGCTCGGAATGGCAGATGTATATAATACATACTGACATACCGCTGTAGTTGAAAATGTCAATGATTTTATAACAAACCGCTTGTCCGAACGCATTTTTATGCTATAAACATAATTTAATTATATTAATAATTTCTTTTCTCTTGTTTCAAATAAAACGTAAACTTTAATGTAAACTTTATTATAATATACTTTTAAATTATTGTGTATTTTTCATTATATTCAAATTATCCAATAAAATATGTTTATGCAATAAAAACGAAAATATAAACATTCAATGTTTGATTCAGTAATTCGTATATTGATAGGAAATGCCAATGTAGAAGAAAATAATAATATAAATATAATTTATTTTTAATGTTTAATACATTTTTCCATAGGAACATCCACCATTTCATGGTTTTAGCACTAAAGAGGCTAATCTTTCCGTGTCTTATATAAAAACGCAACAACATGACACAGAAACTACAACTGTTAAATCACCACCTGATGCTGTTGATAATTCTATGCAACAACAGAATGAACAAAATGTCACAGATATTAAAAGTTCTCCATCGAATACTGAAAATAATACAGACAAATTATATGATAAAAATATCAAAACAACAGAAAATGATAAAAAGGATGTGACTACATTAAATTCCAAACGTACTGCTAAATTTAACAGACCTAAAAATCACAGAAGTTGCAAAAATATAAAATTCTCCAATTTTATGAAAACACCAGTATTAAAATCAGTGAACAATATTTTAGATCAGCATCAACGAACAAGACAACTACGTAACAGTACTGCAAAGAGATTATTACAAAGGGCAAAATCTAATAGTAATAATGTGCGTAATATGACAGCACAATGTGGAGATAAACCAAATGCAGTAAGGAAATTTATTTTACCAGTTCGAAGTGCCCATTCGTCACGAGTTATTAAACCAAATAAAAGATTTATTGAAGAATTAGAAGAAATTTCTGGGGCAGAACATAGTGAAAATGAAGTTGGTACACATGTGAAGAAAGCTAAATTTGCATTAAATAAACTTTGTAATCAGGAACCAAAACTAAAAGAAGGAAATGTTACTAAACTCTGTACAAAACTAAAAGATAAAGAAGTGAAAGATGTGAAAAATAAGGCTAAAAAAGCCATTCAGCGTGTAAATTCCAATGCCCAAACTATTATACAATCTGTAAAAAATCTTGAGAAATTAGCACCTTCTATACAAGACGCACAAGTATCAAAAACTATTAATACAGATGTTAAAAGAATGAATGTATCAAATAAAAATAAAGTGGTGAAATGTTCATCCAATGAATGCAATGGTATTCAAGATGGTACACTAACTACAACCAGAAAAGCTCAAAATGCAAAATTAACTGTCTCCAAAAATCAGAAACTAATTTCTGTTCCTACAAAAGTTCTTCCTGATTCTGATGTTCCAAGTTCAGAGTCTTCTAGGATTCAAACAAGATCAGGGACTCAAAATGATGCAGCTGATTTAGAAATTCACACCAGTTTTGAAGATGCAACAAAGCTGAAAGAAAATAATAGTGCAAAAGGTCGAGGTAATACTGGTAATGTGAGTAAAAATACAGAAGAAAATTCAGATAATTTTGACACGGAAAGTACATTGTCTGAAAGTGGAAGTGAACATAGCAGTCACACAGAAGACGAACAGTCTGAATGGACTGGAATGAAATTAAATGGTGGAAAAGTTATTTTGAGGAAAGCAAGATTAAAACTAGATAATAAATGTGTTAGTGGAACTGAAGGTCCTTTTTCAACAACAAATAGCAATAGTGTTACAAGTGGAAATGCTAACTTAGGTATGTGTTTAATAATCTTTATGATTTATTATTTTCATATATTCTAATTCAAAGATTTGCAATATAAAAAAAATTTTAGATAAGGCTTTAAACTTGGAATAATCGATTAAAATAGAAATTAGAATCAATAATTTAATCTCATAAATTATAATAAGTACAAAGTAATGAATTCATTTCATTTTTGTAATACTTTAGGTTTGACAGGTACCATTAAATGTGGCGTTTGTGGTGCAGTACGATTTTATCGGTTTGTGAAGCAGGCTCGAAAATTTGGTATTCACAGTTGTGAATCATGTAGAAAGTTTATAAGTAAAATGATTAAACGTCAAGCTTGTGCAAAATCTACAAATAGTACTCTTCCAGTCCTTCAATGTCATAAAGGCGATGGTTTGTGCTTAGTACCACCTATTGTAAGAAGTCAACAATGGAATCTCATGCGATGTGTTTATAAGGCTAGATGCCCAGCTTGTTGGTTAAAAATGTGTTTGAAATGTTACAACATTCCTTCTTCTCTAAGAACAGGCTTAAATACATTGCTACCACCAATGATGAGAGATCCTCTGAGTGTTCCATTAACACTGAGTCAAGAAGATAATGATAATCATGGACAAAAACTAATATCTTCTAAGTTAGGTTGGCCTGCAGAAGATAGCTCTGAAAAAAATTTATTCAAATCAGCTATGAGTTGGAGAAATATAGAAATAGGTCAGAAAACTAGTTATCAAGGCACTGGTGGTTTTCTATACACAAAGTTAGACAAATGTAAGATACTGATCCTTTTAATCTATTTTATATATGTAATATAAGTATATATGTATTATAAAATAATTTATTTACTTTACTTTATCTATCATTTATTTTACATATATTACAATTTTTTAATAATCATTTATTTTAAATTTTATAGTTGATTCATCACTAAATATATCACCTAATAAAAAAAGAAGAAAAAATAATAGGATAAAAGTGAGAAAGAAATTAAAAAATCCTATGTTCTCTTTACCATCTCAAAATCAATGTCCACAACCTCTGAGACAGAGACTTGAATTGAAAGGGCCAAGAGTGAAACATGTTTGTCGAAGTGCAAGTGTTGCTCTTGGTCAACCAATTGCTACTTTTCCCTCTATAGATGGAAAAGAAGATACTGAAAGCAATAAGCACATTCCGAAAACTTTAAAGGAAAATGATAGGGTAGAGAAAAAGGATGAAATAAAAGAGAAAGAATCACAAAAACATAATGAAGAAAACACTGTAAATCATAATACTGTTACTGTAACACAACAGCCTCATCCAAAAAGAGGCAAATCACAACAAAATACATCAACATCAAACTTTCAAGTAGTAAGCAAATATAGATATAAATTATATAAATATATTACATTAATTGCAATATTAACAATAATGATTTAAATTTTATTAGATTACTCTTCATCACTTTAAAAAATCAATCATTACAGGTACCTAAAACAAATAACGACACATTACATACAGTATCTATAGACTTTTGGGAACAGTATGATCCTTCAGAAGTTGGAGCAAAAGGTTTCGCCCTTATTGGTTCAGAACTCTTTCATATTCCTGCTATTTGTTACCTTTGTGGGAGTGCTGGAAAAGAACCAGTAAGTAATGTATATATGTACAGTATTATATGTAATTGTACATTGTAAATATCTTTCCAGCTCATCCACTGTCAATGCTGTTGTGAGCCATATCATGCGTTTTGTTTGGAACCCAGTGAATGGAATGCTTGTGCTCAACCAAACTGGTGCTGTCCTCGATGTACAATATGCCAATCCTGCCATCTAAGATCTGGTCCAAAATTGTCTTGCATTCGTTGTCGTCAATCATTTCATCACTCATGTTTGTCAAAATCTGGTGTTAGTGCAAGACTTTACAGTCCTGAAAGACCTTATGTGTGTCAAAGTTGTGTTAAGTGTAAAAGTTGTGGTAGTGAAGGAGTTAACGTTCATGTGGGCAATTTACCGTTATGCTCCATGTGTTTTAAATTACGTCAACAGGGAAATTACTGTCCTTTATGTCAAAGATGTTACAACGAAAATGATTTTGATACAAAGGTAGGTATATGTTTTAAAAGAAAATGTATGTTTATATGTGTAAATGTAATAACTTACATGTGTGTACAACTAGATATAAATGTATAAAATGTATTATATAACTTATTTTTTAAAACAGTATATAAACGCCTTTAATTCTACATTTTATTTTTTAGATGATGGAATGTAATGAATGTTCTTATTGGGTACATGCTCATTGTGAAGGGCTTTCCGATGAACGTTATCAGATTCTTAGTTATTTACCTGATACTATTGAATTTACATGCAGCCAATGTTCCTCAAATCCTAATTCTATTTGGAGAAATGCTATAGAAGCTGAACTTAAAGCTGGTTTCATAGGAGTTATAAAATCGTTAAGTAAAAACAAGAAGGCTTGTGCTGCATTGAAATGGAGCCCAAGAAAGGAATGTTTATGTAGATCTATTTCTAATGGGAAAAGATTGGATTTCTCTAATGAAAAAATAGATTCAAATACGAATATTAAAGAAGGCCTCAGTGTAGATGAAGCTGAAGAGGGTAATAATGAAAAAATTAAAAATGCAGAATTTGGTCATAATAATAGTTTAAAATCTGATTCAACAAGCAAATTGGATGAAGATCAACCAAGTGATTGTTCAAATAGAAGAGGCTTAAGGCGACTTCGACAAAAGTTTCATTTAAAAGAATGTTCTGTTCGAGTAAAAAATTGTGCTGTAAAAGATACTCAAGATAATGATAAAAAAGATTCGGTAAATCAAGAAAATTCATATAGCAATTCAAATGATACAGAATGCCATTGCTCAGACCAACAAATTATTGTTAGACCTTCACCAACGTTGATGTCGGTAAAACGAAAAGTTAATAATAATGAATACAAAACGCTATCACAATTTCATTGTGATATGGAACATGTAATTAATCGTACTGGAACCAAGGATCTTACTGAAGCTTATCACGAAATTTTACAAGAGGTGTTTCCATGGTTTAATTTAAAGAGTATTAAAAATAATAATGGGAAAAATGATGTACTATCATCTACTAAGGACATTAGTAAAGATGATAATCCAGTTACGAAACTCGATGATTCTATTCTAGAGATGTGGAAAGAAGAAGTGATAAAAGCACCAAAAGCAATTGCAGCCAAAACAGCAAATTTATATAATGTTCATGTTGAAGATAGTAGATCATGTTGTTTGTGCAAAGGTTTAGGTGATGGTTTAGAAACGAAAGAAGGACGGTTACTGTATTGTGGTCAAAATGAATGGGTACATTCAAATTGCGCACTATGGTCTAATGAAGTGTTTGAGGAAATCGATGGTTCATTACAAAATGTTCATAGTGCTATTTCAAGGGGTCGATTAATTCGTTGTTCAGAATGCGGAAAGAAAGGAGCCAGTGTTGGTTGTTGTGCGAAAAATTGCAGTAATACCTTTCATTACCCTTGTGCAAGGAACATTGGGCTTGCTTTTAATGATGATAAAACAGTATTTTGTTCTTTGCATTTAAATAATTGCACACATAAAACATTACAAAATGAGAATGAATTTAGTCTACGAAGACCTGTATATGTAGAACTGGATCGTAAGAAAAAAAAGTATGCAGAACCAAGTAAAGTGAAAGTTATGATTGGTTCATTGATAATTGATTGTTTAGGTACAGTTATACCAGAATACTCTGATACAGTTGAGAAAATTATACCTTGTGATTATAAATGTTCTCGGCTATACTGGTCTACAGTAAATCCATTTAAAATTGTAAGATATTACATTAGAACATATGTACAAGTATATGTACCAGAAGTTTCTTCAGATCTAGAAAATAATATAACTATCGACCATTCTGAAGAACAAGAAAAGGAAGATACATTAGATACACAGAAAATTGAATATTTAGCTGTAAAACAAACTCTAGATGCTTTAATTGATGCAGTCTGTAATAAAGAAGTTGATGAAAACCTAGCAGAACAAAATAATACTGATCTTTTGCCTCCAGAATTAAAAGAAGCTATATTTGAAGATTTACCACATGATTTATTAGATGGTATTTCCATGCAAGATATATTTCCAAAGATGACATACGAAGATTTTTTAGCAATGGATTTAAAAAATGATGGCACTTTTGCAACTGATCTATTCAAAGATGATATGTTGGCATCTGAAGTAGATGAAATCATAAAGCCACCTGAGAATAAAGTTTCAAAAATAGATCCATCTTTGGTAGAATTAGGATCACATAATGATCTATGGGTTCATTTAGAAACTAAAACTTCCGTTCAAGATCTAGTAGATGATTTGTTAAGTTCTAAAAATCAAAAACGTGGAGGCAGAGAACTGAAACGATCTAAATCGGAAGTAATGTCAAACAGTCCATTAATTGTTGGAGGACAAAGACACCATCAACGATCTTGCAGTTTAACTTGGAGTTGTAAATTGGATGGTACTTATGGCCCCAGCATAAAACGAAGAAAATTGTCTAGAAACTCAAGTATGACAAAATCAAACGAGACAAGCGTAATGGTATTAGATTCACAAAATGAACGACCACCTACTTTGCATGAATTAAGAATTCCAGATAGTATCATGGTTACTGTAGGAAGAGCAAATACACCTAACATTTTATCCGATTCTATGCGGGAATTAAAGTATTGTATTGAAGATGCCAGTGGTATTAATCGTAGAGTAATATCTAGTAGTCGTGAAGAAGGTAAAGAACATAAACGACTTTTTTGGCATACAAGGCAACAGCCGCGAATATTGCAAGTTGATGGACCTGCTGATGCCAGTAGTGCCAGTGAATGCAGTTCTCCAGAGTATAATATTGAAGAAAAAACTACGGCATTACGTGTAACAGAACATTTATCAATTCCGCAATTAGATGGTATTAACGACGAATCATCATGTGACAGTAGTGAATTTACCTCATTCGCTGAAAAAGATTTCAATTCTTGTTCGAAATCTTCAAATAATATTTTACGATCAAAACGAATATATGGATTTATTAGATCACATATTGCAAAATCTAATGATAAATCACAAAAGATAAAAGAAAATGATGGTTTCTCTAATTGTCAAAAATATTCAGTACAACAAACTAATTTTAACGAAAATAATTTGAAGTTGAATTTAGAAATTCCTCAATTAGACGGAGCTGATGATATTTCCAGTGATGATGAGTGTATATCACCACAACACATTGAAAGTGAAAGAACTACCGTTACTTCTCAATGTGATGCACCATTTGATCACATAGATCGTCCTGTAACTTGTAAAAAATGCCGTTGTACATATAGAACACAAGATAGTTATAATAGACATTTGACAAATTGTGATATCATGATAACAAGCGATAGTGATTCAGAGACTATGGATAATAAGTTAGCATCACCTGATTCTAGATTTTCTCCAAGTATTGGATCTGTTTCTCCACAATTTATAACATTATCTCCATCCGAAGGGCATACACTTTCATCTGATTATCCAGATATACAAGCCACTTCACCTTTAGAAGCTTCTGTACCATCACCTCATCCAGCTATTCAAATTGAACCAATAGCACAAGCAATTATTACACCACAAATTCACACACATGCTACTGTGGAGACTGTTCATCAAACAGTATTAACATCTAATGATATGATCGTACAAACACAGTATACTAGAACAACAACTACATTACCAAATGCTACAGTGTTACCCCAAGAAAGTACTGTTCAAATAACAGAAATTACAGATCCACCATCTGTTGCAAGCGATTCTAGTATGTCACAAAACATCATCAATACGCCTATGAATTCTCCAGATGGTGCAAGTTCGCAAACAGTTCCAAGTCCACAAGTGTCACCTACATTTTCTTCTACCGGTGTACAAACTGCAACTAATGAATCACAAGCAAACATTCAGTTAACGAAATTAGCGAAATCAAAATCTCCAAGAGCGCCGAAGTCTCGAACAAAAGGAATCAAAACACAGATTGTAAAAAATACTATACAACCACACAATGGACATACTAGATTTCAACCAATGCAAAACAATACTCCAGTTATACAATTGCAACAAGCTCAAAGACCAAGTGGGCCAACTGTAATATTACAACAAGCATCTCCTGGTATTATGTCTGCGTATGTTGAAACATTGCAACAACAATCTGGACAAAATCTTCAGTATGTAACAACAATCGGAGGTCAACACGAAACTGCGTTTAAACCGCAGTTCATAACAACTAATCATTTAGTTCCTGGTGCATACATACAAGCATCTTCTGATAACTTATTGGCATTACAAAATGGAGGTATATCGATTTTGCCAGGTGTACAAATTGCTCAAACACAACCAACAGTTCTTGGAACAATTATACAGCAGCAACCTAGTGCAATTCAATGTGGAGTTATATCATCTGAACAACTATTATTGAGTTCAACACCAACACTAGAAATGTTTACAGATTCTACAGGCAGTATGTTTCTTTCAAACCAACCAATGTATTACGGTTTGGAAACTATTGTAAGCAACACAGTAATGTCTTCCAGTCAGTTCATGGCTGGCACAGTACCACAAGTGTTAGCAAGCAGTTACCAAACAACAACGCAAGTTTTTCAAGCTTCTAAACTTATGGAACCTATCGTAGATGTTCAGGCTGTTCCAGGTGTTCCCACTGTAACAGCAGTGCAATCTGTACAAAATGTACCTGGAGTACCTGGAGTGCCAAGTGTACCAAACGTTGCTAATGTATCCAATGTATCCAATGTAACCAACATAGCCAGCATACCCAATGTACCTAGCGTAACCAACGTACCTAATGTTCCGACTGTACCCGCTATACCGACTATACCCGCTGTACCCTCTGTATCCAATGTACCTAATGTATCCAATATACCAAGTATAACAAATATAACGAATGTATCCAATGTACCCACAGTACCCAATGTACCTAGTGTGCCTAGTGTACCTGGTATACCTAGTGCATCTAATACACCTAGTATACCCAATGTATCTGGTGTACCCGGTGTAGCCGGTATACCTGGTGTACCGCATGTACCAAATGTACCCGGTATACCTGGTGTACCGCATGTACCAAATGTACCCGGTATACCTGGTGTACCGCATGTACCAAGTGTACCCAATGCACCTGGTGTACCTAATATATCCAGTACACCTAGTATACCTAGTTCACCTGGTGTATCTAATGTACCTAGTGCACCTAGTGTACCAAATATACCTACTGCATCTGGTATATCTAACACACCTACCGCAACTTGCATACCTGGTGTACCTAACATACCTAATGCACCTAATGTCTCTAATATAGCTAGCGCATCTAATTTGCCTAGTACTTCTAATATAACAAATCTACCAGCTGTACCTACTGTTCAAAATGTATCTAATATTTCCACTTTACCACCCAATGTAGGCAATGTTCCTGACATACCTACAGTACCTGGTGGTTACGTAGTCGTAAATCAATCAACACCTATAGCAGAACCTATCGTAACACCACAAATTAATATTTCTGCAACACCTGAACAAAATTTTGCTTCAGCCACGTGTAATACCATATTGCCTGTATCGTGTCAAAGTGTTGTAGAGCCAGTAACATCGATACAACTACCAGATACATGTCCATCTGAACCTCAAGCTGTAGTAAGAGTAACATCATCTCCTAAATTGTTGCAAAATTCGATACCAACAATACCAAGAGTAGCTGTACGCCCAAGTCCAGTTTCAAACTCTGTTATGCAACCTAACAATGGACCATGGAAAATTACAGAACCACTATTTGGTTCAGAACAGATGATGAACAATAACGTCCGACCATATTTCGACTCGAAACACGTATCAGAGAATACCAGTATGATAAAGTCTAGCATATCATCTAAAATACCCCCATTACCTAATCACTGTATAACTCAAAGGGATATAATTGTAAATAAGTTAAATCATGATGTAAATAATGTGCATAATAATTATAGTAGTACTGTACCGAATTCAAACAATATTAATGTAAGTACAAGTAATAATCCAGTGATAGCTAGCTCGGCTGTACAAAATAAAATTACAATGTCTACAAGCAACGTACCAACGAGTCGACCGATGAATAGAGTACTACCAATGCAAGCTGTGACTCCGAAACAAGATACGACGAAGGCCATGCAGAAAACAGAAATGATCATAGAAGAGCCAACGAAACCGGTAATTAAGCCAGCGGAACCAGAACAGAAGCTTGCAGAACCTAAAAAGCAAATTGTCGAAGCCGTAGTACCAACGGTGAAAAAGCCCGAGACGACTATAAACAACGTGAATGAAACTCTGAAATTAAACACCGAAACAATCGAGAAGGTAAAAGAAAATCTCAAGTTGGAACTGGACAAAGAGAAACTGCAGAACGCTTCGTTGAAAATAGTGCTACAAAAGCAATTGCAAGATGGTTCTTACAAAATTACGCATAACATGAAAGCAGTGACGCAAAGTAAGAAATCTCCGCAGGTGACATCTGTAGAAATATTGCCGTCGAAGCAGGTACCGCAGATAGCTTCTTTGCAATTGTTACCGATAAAAACGTTCACGTTAAAAACGAACAAGATCGAGGAAAAGGTTAAACCTATCGATAACAAGTTCAACATATTAAAAACCAAGACTCCGCCAGTTGCTGTGAAAAAACCAAGAGTGATCAGTAAGTCGATTAAATCCATACAGCCAACTTTACCAATCTTGCAAGCACAGAAAAACACCTCGAAAGGACCGACGTTAATGTACGAGATAAAGTCGCAGGATGGATTTACTCATACCGCTTCTTCGATGACCGAGGTATGGGAAACCGTATTTCAGGCCGTACAGAATGCTCGGAAAGCTCACAATTTACCTCCGTTGCCTCATAATCCTCTGACTGAGAACCTGGGTTTGGAAAACAACGCCACGGTGTATCTAGTTGAACAACTACCGGACGTAAACAGATGTACCAAATACAAACCCCGGTTTCATAATTTAGCACCGCCTAAACCAGGAGAAACAGAAAACGATTTACTAAAAGCGTGCGATAACGGTGCTGCTCGCGCAGAACCGTTCAAAGGAAGAAAAGTTCACGATATGTTCAGTTGGCTGGCATCGAGGCATAGACAACAGCCAAAAATGATCTCTATCTCGGAAGCTGAGTCGAGGTAAGAACTAACAAAAACCATAGGAATTTTGTAGTTACTTTAAGATATAACAAGAGCGTAAAAATAACCTCAATATATCGACGTTGCGAAAGAATATATTCTTTTGTTCGCAGACGAGTGGCAAGCACAAATTTACCAATGGCGATGCGCTTTAGAATACTGAAAGAGACATCAAAGGAATCAGTTGGAGTATATCATTCTCACATACATGGCAGAGGTTTGTTTTGCCTCAGAGACATTGAAGCCGGAGAGATGGTTATCGAGTATGCCGGTGAGGTGAGTAGAAACGTGAAGCACGTTGGTGTTTATATAATCTGTTTTATTAACTGTCAATCTGTAATATGTAATTTTCTTGAATAATATTTGATAAATATTCGTAGGTTATTCGAGCTTCGTTAACCGACAAACGAGAAAAATATTACGATAGTAAAAACATAGGATGTTACATGTTTAAAATCGACGATCACCTAGTCGTTGATGCTACAATGAAAGGAAATGCAGCTAGATTCATTAATCACTCATGCGAGGTATCTATTCATTCGTATCTACATAAATACATACGTTTTGTTGTGAAACAAGATTAATCGCTTTTATCGTTATTAATTAATATATTCGAATCTGCAAGTAAAATTGCATGGACTTACTTTCTCTAACTTATGAATCATGTTTCAGCCAAATTGTTACTCGCGAGTGGTAGACATCCTAGGTAAGAAACACATTTTAATTTTCGCTCTCCGCCGCATTACTCAAGGAGAAGAGTTAACGTATGACTACAAATTTCCTTTCGAGGATATCAAGATTCCATGTACCTGCGGTTCCCGCAGATGTCGTAAATACCTCAATTGAGACTGCATATACAGCTATCGTAAGCAGCCAACCGGCACAGCAAAAAATATTGTGCTATAATTATGTGCGCTTTGGAATAGGATTCATTTTATTGAACGTTATTCATTTAATCATCAAACTATTTTCAGAGATTGCAGCTTTTTATTACTATAAAGGAAATAGATATACATTTAAAATATTAGAAGGCCAGATATAGTACATGAAACATCGCGTTATGACAATGTTACTTTAAACAGCTACACTTCGTAGTTGATTTAAGGGGTATACTTATAGCAATAAACGATTGAATATGTCCTGCTTTCGTACCCAACGAGCCTCGCGTGCTTCATCGCGCTAAGACTCATGAAAGTGTTACTTTATCCACGCCTGTGCTTTTATGCACGTCTTCTAGACTCTACTTATTATCTACTATTGAGGCTTAAGTGTACAAGTTATCGTCACTTTACACTAAATCGAAAATGCTTTTAACTTGTATGCATATATATATATAAATTTTTCATTTATATATTTTATTTTGAGTTAGAATTTTATGGATTCTACAGACAATTGGACCAAGTTAAAACGCGTGAAATTGAAGAAAATGCATAGCACAAAATCGTGTACTTAGAGAGAAATTTTCATGACTGTGACTTACTTTTGTTCACATATTTGAATGTAAAGACGCGGTGCACGTTCGCTACGCGATAAGTACAAAACGGTCATGCTACGAAACGTGCGAAACTCGCGAGATAAAAAGCGCAGAAGTTTATTGCGAATTTCAATTTTACATATAATAATATAGTTATATATTTTTAAATATTTTACGTAAATCTAAAATTTAGTGTACAGTGTACGACTAACTTCGTGACATTTCATGTCTGATGTAGGGCCAGATTTCAAATGTTCTTGTAAAATATGTAATTGTTAGATTAGACACTGTCTTGATGTAAGTACAGCTACCAGTTTAACTTAAGTTAGTAACGTAGATGTTAAGAAAAAAAAAAAAAAAAAAAAAAAGAAAGCGCGCGCGAGAGGATGAGAGAGAGGGGGAGAGAATGGCAAGAAAGAGCAGTTTCCTAGCGTGGGATACTGTTTGAAGGTGTACCTACTTTGGCAGACATTGATGATATTTTAAGTCTTATAGTAGTGGAAAAAAAAGAAAATTAAGAAAAACGAAATGGGAAACAGAGACTTGCTTTCCGAAGAAATTGACGCCTGTTCGTTTGTTTCAAATGAAGGATTATGTACGCGCAATATTATTTTGATATGTTTTTATAGATTTTTAAACGATGCACCCATGCGTTTGTGCTTCCGCCTTGCCAATATTACAATATTAATCTCATTACTTTATTTTTATATTTAAAGAATATAAATGGCTAGAGAAGAAAGAAACTTTTTATTTTACAGAAACTCGATGGAACCGCTGATCGTACGTGATCGATCGTAATCTTTACATGGTTTCTGTCCAAAATTTTTCTACCATTCGTAAGAGGCAAGTATATCGCGTAACCGATTACGTTGACAGAGTGTAAAAAGATAATTAGATCATTGTTTCGAGTAAACTTTTCTAGAATATTAATATTTCTAGAAAATGTTTGTGATATTTTCCCACACTGGGAAAAGTTATGAATGTTCTTTATAGGAATATATTTCAGATTTTTTACGGATATACTACGTATTCCGTAAAAAGCACCTTTCTGTGAAATGCAGTTTTGCCTTACCTTTAATGTACCTACGCTTTAAACCCGGTGATAGATTTAGATATACCCCGATGACTTATATTCAAACTAAAAAAAAAAAGAAAAAAAAAAACTAATTGTGTCTATGCATCCATTAAGCTATGATAAAGTATTTTAGTGCGGTTAATCAATTTCTGCCGAGGTGGTTGTCCCTTAAATTTGGTGCTCCATGGACACCGTTAAGTGCACTTTACACGAAAAAATGGCCTAGAGTAAGAAATAGTAGGTGGCAGCGGAAGAGTTTGATAATAATAAGAAATGCGTTATACGAGGAATATTGATCGCGAATTTATTTAACGAAGTAATATAAAGAAGTAAATGATGGCAGGAACATTATTTGAGCACGCAAGTATTCGTCGGTCGTGCAACATTTTAATCGGCCTGGTTTGGTACAAAATGCGTATGCTGATTTGTAAAAAGTTATAAAACAAGGGAAAAAATAGAAACTTGTTCTGGTCACGAGAAATTGCCATTTTTTAGGTATTTTGAATCTTTTTCTCTCCTTTTTTTGTGTTTTTTTTTTTAATATTATAATTACCAATAATTAGTAACTATTATTGGAAGATGAATATTGTTAATATAATGATAATTAATTTTAATCTGTAAAAAAAAAAAAAAATAATACGACATAAGAAAGGTAATTTACTTGAAAATATAATAGCAATGTTAGATATTTTATTGATATTTATTACTTATGGATGACGGTTCTAGGGTTAACGAGATGTACTAATTACATTAAACATGATTTAGAGAACATGGTGCACACGATGGTCTAATATTGTTGAAAAAGATACGAAACGTCAGCTTTTTTATGGAGGGAAAAAGAGAGCATCCTTTTCTCTTTAAAAAGAAAGAAAGAAAGAAAAAAACGAAAAAAAATAATGCATTCTTGTAATTGTTACACGATATCACCGCAGAGACAGTTTTGGGATTATGAATTATATGCGACGCGTTTCAATATATACTTTATATTCCCATCGCAGATTATAATATCTATGGTGACTGTAACAATAATCTATAATGGGTATATATTTACACATGTCGGTAGATAAATTAAGAACACTGTTTTTTAATTATTTTTTTATTTATAAAATCCATATAAAATATTCTATGCTCTGAGAATGGCAAGAAAAAAACACAAAAAAACAAAAAAGTAGGTTTTAGCGTCCGCGTGACAGGATACGGAAAATTACGTTCATATATACATTTCTCTGACGAACCTTTCAGAGTTTATCGAGCGCTTTTCTGAAACATACTCTGTATCTTTTTAAATGATTCCCTAACTCACGGAGCCTGTACAAGCTCCTTAGTATTACGCATCCAGCCTTCATTATTATGGTTATTATTATTATTATCAATTAATTATAATCTACACGAGAAGATAGCATAATACACCGCCACTCATATTGTGCACCGTTTGTTTAACTACACCCGTCACAGCACCTTTAAAAAGTGATTCGTGTGAGAAAAGAGCAAAAGTTTTGACGTTAGAGAGAAAAAAAAACAAATCTATATATATATACATAAATATATATATGTATAATCTTCAAACTCGAATATGTATATGTATACTTTACCTCGAGATCAATTTGCTTTAGGTAATGAAAGTGTTGGATATTTGCTAGTTTGGTGTGATAACGAAACGAGTGGTTAAGTTATTCATGGAACTGTACGGTGCCCGTTATTACTTTTTACGACAATTTCAAAACATCGCAGCGTTGCATCCTCTTGTAATCGGGAGTCTCATCTCTTCGAGTCTTTGGGTTCTTCGTTTTATCCGTAGAGAAATAAGGGATCTAATATGGGAAAGAGAAGGAAAACCGAAATTGAAATGTAAAACGCTTTTTTAAATCGTGTATAAACAAGGCGAAACGGAAGAGAGAAGAACAAACAAACAAACAAAAAAAATGGACTAAATAGTATTACTCTAACGTTTAAACGAATCGTAGAATTTTGAATATTGTACTTGTTTAAAAGGGAAAAAAAAAAAAAAGAAAAGAAAAAGGAGGAAGAATACAAAGATGGCGGCGACGACGAAGAAGAAGCAGCAAAAGAAAGATAAATGATACTATTGAGAAATTTAAAGGTAAAAAGAAGACAAAAAATGGAAGATGGCGACGAAAGAGAGAAAAAGGAACGAAAGGAAAAATTGAAAAAAATTGTCTGTGATTATCAGTCATAATAATCTTTAGGTCGACATATTTTTTAGAGAATATTTTTTAGCAAATTACAAAATTTATGATATACCCCTATTATTGATATGATATTGGATCAGACACGCTACGCATAATATTAAAGTAAAGGAAGAGAGAGAGAGAGAGAGAGAGAGAGAGAGAGAGAAAAAAGAATTGAAACTGTAAAAGTTGCAAACTGTTTAATAGAATTATGAATAGTTGAGATCGATGGCTGTTGTAAAATATTCAGTGTTTGGACAAATAATTATTAAAAACTATTTATAATATCGATTAATATCGAGGTATGATTATATATTATTGTATCGCATTACTATAGTAGCGTTTCTATCTCTTTTGCGTTTGCATATTCATCGGAATAGATTATAGAGAGAATTGGTCGTAGGCCCATACAAGACGTGATGAATGTAAAATTAAACGAAGAGACGCTGCGGGCAAAATGGGACGTATTTACTGCACGCGTTCCGCGTGTAAATTGTCGTTATAAAATCCATCTACTTATTGTAGAGAACTTATGAAGTAATCGTAATATTTACATTAACCAGATGATATGCATACCACATAGAAACACGTAACTACCGCTTTCATCACACGATAAATATGTACACGTAATTACACACAGAGACACGTACACACCACGGTAAAGAAACACACCGTATACACACACACACACACACACCCGTACGCCCATGTTTTGTAATTAAATGTTTTGTTAGTATTATATGAGAAATTAACAGAATAAAAACACAAATGGAAGTATAAATATGGTTCCGTGCTGTGTAAAAGTACCCTACTACTTACCGCGTTCGATCTAGAATGGAAACCGAGTGGAATCCCAGTATCAGAATTCAGTTTCGAATTCTAATCGCAGATTTCTTACCCTGCAAATCCGCCGCTGCTCTCTGTGTTCGATCGAGGCGCTGCAAGGAAAATAAGAGCGAAAAACCGCGGCTCTCCCGCTTGTATCTCGTTAATTTTAAATATTGTCAGCGCGCAATTAGTTTAAGCATAAAGCGGCAATCTTATCTTCTCTTTGTCCGTTCTCACAAACGGGTAGACTGAGCAAGTACCATATTGTAATCTACGATACCACTTGTTCATTGTAACAGCGACGTGCGTTATAGGTCATGCTTTTTCCACGTGTGAGAATCCTCTTTTTTTTTTTTCTCCTTTTTTTTCCTTTTTTTTCTACGCGCGTATTCGGTTGAGCGCGCGTCGCTGACTCATGCACGTTGCTCGGATGTTGTGTTGTGCGTACCTCGTGTAAAACGAAGGAGAGAGAGAAAAAAAGAAAAAAAAAAGAAAAAGAAAAGAATTTCTTCGAAAGTAGAATTTATATGTGTGTGGATCTGCGCTTGCTCGATGAAACGTCCGGAGTTCGTGCTCGTTATCGGGAATACGAGGAGGAATAGCGAGAATCGTGTAATGTGATTTTACAAAAGTTTTTATTCGACGCGTTTGGTCGTCGTTTCGACGATATTCGGTCGTACGTGGAATTGATTCGAACGTTTCCATGCGTGGAACGGCTACACGAATGAAGTTTATCGGTA